CTGTATTCTGACTGTCATTTCTCTCAACTGCAGCCTGTTCTCTTAGCCTGGTTCTCCAGCCTTCCCTGTGTTTTAGAACACCCCACAACTACCACCAACAACAACCATCTTTTCAACAGATCTGTTTTCTGTTTATGAGAACCAGAGTTGGTTTCTGTTGCTTGCAAACAAAGAATTCAGGTTCACACCTATAAAAATTGTACTTTTGGAATCAATTCTAGGGAGATCATCAGGAATTCAGACATAGATTTAGACATAAGTAGGCTCATAGCAGGATTGATTATTGTAAAAAAAAAATTAGAAACCATCCAAATAATCAGCAAAAGGTTTAGGTAAATCATACATCCATATAATGGAATATTTTAAAATCAGATTTCTTAAAAACAACTTTTCATCCTTATTTTAAGAAAAATTATGGACAAAAAAAGAAACTGATATATATATTCATAGAAACAAAATTAGAAAGAGATGCACCACCATTGTATGAAATAAAATAATGGACATTTTCAAATTGTTTTCTTTAAGCTGTGTAGCATGGCTAGCAGAGCTCTGAGATCTGACTGATTGGGGTTCAACTCCCACTCCTGCCACTCAGTAGCTGTGTGACAGGCAAGTTATTGCACCTGCCTGAGCTTGGCCTCCTTGTTTGCAGAATGACGAGTATGGCTACGTTGTGGGTTTGTTCTGAGAATCAAAACCAATGAGATAATGTATCAAGTGCCCAGTGCAGTGTTTAGAACAGAGTGGGTATTCAGTAACTAATAATTGGTTATTTTTACACGTTGTTATTTTCCACAATGAAATACATTTAAAGAGAGTATTTACTTGAGAGTAATTAAACATCACAAGAGTTGATCTATAATATAATAGGTAGTCATTGACGAAGACTTCAAAAAGTTAGTGGAAAGTGCCTATTATAAAAACCTACTTAAGGGACCAGCAGTTAGCATAATGGCTGTGTCACTGGACTCCCATGTAGCCGGCCACCGTTCGAGTCCTGGATCCAGTGGCTTAAACTCACGTTGTATGTGTGTGTGTGTGTGCATGCCCAAGATCCCGAGAGGAGAATGGAGGAGAAGGGATTATGGCGTGGCCATCCCCCCGGGGGGTGATTTCTCACTTTCTCTCTCTCTGTCTCTCTCTGTCTTTCTGGAGAGCACACGTGCCCTATAGCAAAAACCTCTCCAAAAAAAACCCAAAAACCAAAAAACACAAAACTATGTGAGTTATAACATTTTTGTACCAAATAAACCCATACTTTAATTCCATTTTTGTCCACAAACTTTTTGAAGTCCTCTTTTATTCCCACATCAGCCCCTTATTTCTAACTACCGTTGTCAGTCCCCCACCCCACCCCCATCATATATGTCCCAAGCAGGGGTGAGGAGTCAGGGCTTGAGTTATTCTTGCCAATGATGCCATCAATGTGCTCTGTGTCCTTGGACAAGTGAGTTACCCTTTCCAGACCTCAGTTAAAAATGGAAGAGTTAGTGTGGACAATCTCAAAGTGCCTCCCTTCGCTGATATTCTGTGACCTTTGAGACTTTTTCACAATCTAATCCTCAAAGGTGAGACTTAACCTGCATCCTTCCCATCATTCAACCACAGTTTCACCTCGCCTCACCTCGCCCAGGGTCCTTGCCATATTAACCCCAGACTCCTCCTTAGAGTGGAGATCCCATTTATCTGTAGCTGGTAAGCTCTTGTACTCTAGGCAGACATAGTTTTCACTTTCTACCACAACTGCTTACTGTTGATGTTGATTCTGAAGGGTCAGTAACTATTAAATGCAGATTCAGGTATTTTTTTATAAAAACTGGAACCATCCAGTTTCTCTGTTCTAGTCCCCAAATGTCCCTTTCCCAGAAGGGAATGGTGAAAAGAGAGGCAGTTCTCCACGGAGTTTCTAGCAGGTGGAGCCAGGCCCTGGAAGCTGGTGTCTGGGACTGGCTGTACCTCGCCCTGGCTCCTTGCGTGTGGAGGACCCAGGAGCTCCAGGAGGTGCTGACCTAACTGGGCACCCGCTCTGTAGAAAACCCACCTCACCGCTGGGACCAGCAGTTAGCGTAATGGCTATGTCGCTGGACTCTCATGTAATCGACCGCAGTTCGCATCCTGGACCTGATGGCTTAAAACTCATGCTGGGCACGTGTGTGTGCGTGCCCAAGATCCTGAGAAGAGAATGAAGGAGAAGGGATTGCGGCATGGCCATCTCCCCTGGAGGGTGATTTCTCGCTTTCTGTCTCTCTGTCTCTCTCTGTCTTTATGGTGAGCACACGCGCCCTATGGCATAAACCTCTCCAAACAAAAAAACCCACCTCACCAGAGGGGGTGGCGTATGCATGCCTGAAGAAGGGCAGGGCTGGGCTTTGTCTGATCTGACCTGGTCTCCTCCTTCCCTTCTGCAGACCATGGGGGATGTGAAGCTGGCTGCCTCATCACATGTTTCCCAAACCTCCCTCAGTGCGGATCCCTCAAGAGTTGGCTCCATGCCCCTGACTGAGGCCCCTGCGTTCCTTCTGCCCCCGAGGAACCTCTAAAAAAAAAAAAAAGATGGATTCCAGGTAGTGATGGGTTGTCCAGTGACCTTGGCTGTATTCTGACTGTCATTTCTCTCAACTGCAGCCTGTTCTCTTAGCCTGGTTCTCCAGCCTTCCCTGTGTTTTAGAACACCCCACAACTACCACCAACAACAACCATCTTTTCAACAGATCTGTTTTCTGTTTATGAGAACCAGAGTTGGTTTCTGTTGCTTGCAAACAAAGAATTCAGGTTCACACCTATAAAAATTGTACTTTTGGAATCAATTCTAGGGAGATCATCAGGAATTCAGACATAGATTTAGACATAAGTAGGCTCATAGCAGGATTGATTATTGTAAAAAAAAAATTAGAAACCATCCAAATAATCAGCAAAAGGTTTAGGTAAATCATACATCCATATAATGGAATATTTTAAAATCAGATTTCTTAAAAACAACTTTTCATCCTTATTTTAAGAAAAATTATGGACAAAAAAAGAAACTGATATATATATTCATAGAAACAAAATTAGAAAGAGATGCACCACCATTGTATGAAATAAAATAATGGACATTTTCAAATTGTTTTCTTTAAGCTGTGTAGCATGGCTAGCAGAGCTCTGAGATCTGACTGATTGGGGTTCAACTCCCACTCCTGCCACTCAGTAGCTGTGTGACAGGCAAGTTATTGCACCTGCCTGAGCTTGGCCTCATTGTTTGCAGAATGACGAGTATGGCTACGTTGTGGGTTTGTTCTGAGAATCAAAACCAATGAGATAATGTATCAAGTGCCCAGTGCAGTGTTTAGAGCAGAGTGGGTATTCAGTAACTAATAATTGGTTATTTTTACACGTTGTTATTTTCCACAATGAAATACATTTAAAGAGAGTATTTACTTGAGAGTAATTAAACATCACAAGAGTTGATCTATAATATAATAGGTAGTCATTGACGAAGACTTCAAAAAGTTAGTGGAAAGTGCCTATTATAAAAACCTACTTAAGGGACCAGCAGTTAGCATAATGGCTGTGTCACTGGACTCCCATGTAGCCGGCCACCGTTCGAGTCCTGGATCCAGTGGCTTAAACTCACGTTGTATGTGTGTGTGTGTGTGCATGCCCAAGATCCCGAGAGGAGAATGGAGGAGAAGGGATTATGGCGTGGCCATCCCCCCGGGGGGTGATTTCTCACTTTCTCTCTCTCTGTCTCTCTCTGTCTTTCTGGAGAGCACACGTGCCCTATAGCAAAAACCTCTCCAAAAAAAACCCAAAAACCAAAAAACACAAAACTATGTGAGTTATAACATTTTTGTACCAAATAAACCCATACTTTAATTCCATTTTTGTCCACAAACTTTTTGAAGTCCTCTTTTATTCCCACATCAGCCCCTTATTTCTAACTACCGTTGTCAGTCCCCCACCCCACCCCCATCATATATGTCCCAAGCAGGGGTGAGGAGTCAGGGCTTGAGTTATTCTTGCCAATGATGCCATCAATGTGCTCTGTGTCCTTGGACAAGTGAGTTACCCTTTCCAGACCTCAGTTAAAAATGGAAGAGTTAGTGTGGACAATCTCAAAGTGCCTCCCTTCGCTGATATTCTGTGACCTTTGAGACTTTTTCACAATCTAATCCTCAAAGGTGAGACTTAACCTGCATCCTTCCCATCATTCAACCACAGTTTCACCTCGCCTCACCTCGCCCAGGGTCCTTGCCATATTAACCCCAGACTCCTCCTTAGAGTGGAGATCCCATTTATCTGTAGCTGGTAAGCTCTTGTACTCTAGGCAGACATAGTTTTCACTTTCTACCACAACTGCTTACTGTTGATGTTGATTCTGAAGGGTCAGTAACTATTAAATGCAGATTCAGGTATTTTTTTATAAAAACTGGAACCATCCAGTTTCTCTGTTCTAGTCCCCAAATGTCCCTTTCCCAGAAGGGAATGGTGAAAAGAGAGGCAGTTCTCCACGGAGTTTCTAGCAGGTGGAGCCAGGCCCTGGAAGCTGGTGTCTGGGACTGGCTGTACCTCGCCCTGGCTCCTTGCGTGTGGAGGACCCAGGAGCTCCAGGAGGTGCTGACCTAACTGGGCACCCGCTCTGTAGAAAACCCACCTCACCGCTGGGACCAGCAGTTAGCGTAATGGCTATGTCGCTGGACTCTCATGTAATCGACCGCAGTTCGCATCCTGGACCTGATGGCTTAAAACTCATGCTGGGCACGTGTGTGTGCGTGCCCAAGATCCTGAGAAGAGAATGAAGGAGAAGGGATTGCGGCATGGCCATCCCCCCTGGAGGGTGATTTCTCGCTTTCTGTCTCTCTGTCTCTCTCTGTCTTTATGGTGAGCACACGCGCCCTATGGCATAAACCTCTCCAAACAAAAAAACCCACCTCACCAGAGGGGGTGGCGTATGCATGCCTGAAGAAGGGCAGGGCTGGGCTTTGTCTGATCTGACCTGGTCTCCTCCTTCCCTTCTGCAGACCATGGGGGATGTGAAGCTGGCTGCCTCATCACATGTTTCCCAAACCTCCCTCAGTGCGGATCCCTCAAGAGTTGGCTCCATGCCCCTGACTGAGGCCCCTGCGTTCCTTCTGCCCCCGAGGAACCTCTGCGTCAAAGAAGGAGCCACTGCCAAGTTTGAAGGGAGGGTAAGAGGTGTGACTGGATGGGGAGGCTTGGGGGAGGACAGGCAGGGGCCACGGCTCCGTCTCAAGCCTCTTTCTCAGCAGACTGGATTTGATAAAAGGTCTGAAGTTTCTTGGACCTTCACATAGGGTGAATGTAGACCACTTAGCTCTATTTCTTTTGTTTATGGTGGGCTTTGGTCTAGGTTGGAGGGTAGAGTGGGACATTACAAGTTGACTAACCTGAGATATTTTGCTGTTAATGAAGGTTATGTTCTGGGCATCTAATTATAGAAGAAGACATGGCCTGGTGGCAGGAGGAATATGAGCAGTTTGGGTTTAAATCTGTGCCTTCACATCTGGGCAAGTGAGAACTGACTGGAATTTTTCTCTTGCCTTTTCGCTGGAAGGAGTGCTTAGTCAGCTGTTCATGTACTGACCTGGTACACTACAGTGGTGGGATGGAAGACAGGCCCCTTATTTCCATTCTGTCACCTTCTGCAAATGATTCTTGGTCTCTTGTTCTCACTGGGCCTCCAATTTTTCTTCTGCAAATGGGCATGATAATTCCTTGTCCACCATGTACTAAAAAGGAGGAGAAGATGAGAACAGTGAAGAATCGTTGAAGAGTGGCAGCTGGTGTGTGGTGAAGGCATCTGGACCCCACATGGCTGACTGCACCATACATCTTGGGCCAGGCAGCTTGAAAACATGCTAGGTTCATGTGATACGTGCTCAAAACCCAAAAGGAGGGAGAGGAAGAGAAGGGATTGTGGCGTGACTATTCCCCTTGGGGGGGTGCATTCTCACTCTCCCTCTTTCTCTCTCCAGAAAGCACACATGCCCTCTGGCAAATTAAAAATAGTTGAAATAATATCTATAGTTATGCCTCCTTGGAAAAACGTTCAGTAAACTTCTAACTTGGGTCACTAGGACGTCAAATCAACTGGCCTGGAGATGCGTGTGGACGTCAGGGAAGTTTACAGTGATAATTGTCCTCGGGTTAATTATGGTGAGATTTATCCCAGGAAATGCTTTAGGAGCTAGAAAGCTTTGATCTGAGCACTAGAAAAGACCACAGAGGTGAGAGGGGGTTGTAGCTGCACTGTGACTCTGCCATTTAAACGAGAGCCCCCGAAAGTTACAGGAGGAAGAGATCAGGCAGGCGACCCCCAAAGGGCACTGGGCTGTATCCTTGTTTAAGGGAAGAGTCTGGCTCCATAGTTTTCTGGAAAGCTGGCAGGGGCTGCAGCCTTGAAAATGTCGTGGGGCTGCACTGAACTGTGTGTTCTGCACAGGCCTGTCTAGTAAAGACCGAGTGCTAATGGATCTGACCTCAGTCCTGCGTATCTGTCACCTGAGGAACAGAGGGGCGTGCTGGTGATATTCCTGAGGTCTGCTTCTTCTCTCTGGGCACGGCCAGGTCGAAGGCTCTTTCCTGTTGTTCTGACTGGTCTTCCTGTCCTCTCATCCCCACAGCTGGTAGGGAGGTTCAGCATGGCTCAGATGACCACAGAGAGGAATAAGTACCGATCATGCTTCTGTGTGGGTGAAGTTCACAAACACCACACTGGGTGAAAGAAGCCAGAAATAAAGGGCTACTCTCCCCTCCACCCCTCTCCTCCACACACATCTACAAGGGTCTTCAGAAAGTTCATGGAAAATGAGCATTGTGAAACACACACGATTCCATTGATGAATACACACGACACCGTTTCAGGAAAATATTCAGCATGGGAATACCCATAGATATAGGAAGTAGGTAAGTGGATGCCAGGATCTTGGGGTTGGGCATGGGGAGCGGCTGCTAATGGGGATGGGGTTTCTTTTGGGGATGTTGAAAATGTTCTGAAATTAGATGGCAGTGGTTGGGCAACTTTGTGCAGATATTTATAAAACACCACATTATACACGCTAAAAATTAAAAATAAACATTTAGGAAATAGCTTAGACTGCAAAACTGTTCTTAGCTCCACACTCACCCTCCTGCCATACTACTTCAGAGAGAACTCTTCCTCAGTTCAGGCGAACGTGGAGCTGAAGAGATGACGTAGCTTCTTCCAGCGCAATGTGCATCTGCACTCTCTCCGGCCCGTGGAGTCTTGAGGGAACCAGCCTCCGAGTTACCGGATCTGGGACCTTCACGGGATGACGCCTGGCCTCGGAGCCAGCACACTAGAGCTCTGAGTTGCTCAGTACCCTTGATCGGCACGTCATGCCTTTGATGAATCTAAGAGGCCCTTTTCTGAGGAAAAGCAACTGACTTTTTCTGTGTCTTCTCATATATGGAATATGAGAAGAAAAGCAGATAAGTAGTGAAAGTGCTTCATCAAGTCAAAAAATATACGGGCAGATAAGTCAGCTAGATCCCACATGGCTGACTGAGTGGTTCAAGTGGTTCAAGTCATGACCTGGTGGTTTAAAAAATCACACTGGGCATGTGTGTGTGCATGCCCAAAATCCTGAAGGAAGGAAGAGATGGAGAAGGGATCATGCCTCATAAGGGGTGATTTCTCATTTCCCCCCCTCCTTCTCTTTGTCTCTCTCTCTCTGATAAATGTATGTACCCTCTGACAAAAATTTTTTTAAGAAAAAAAATAGGATTATTTTTATTATTTTATGAGAGATTTTTGCTATAGGGCACATGCACTCACCAGAGAGAGAGACAGAAAGTGAGAAATCACTCCCCAGGGGATGGCCATGCCACAGTCCCTTCTCCTCCATTCTCTTCTCAGGACTTTGGGCACACACACACACATATGCCTGGCGTGAGTTTCCAGCCACTGAGTCCAGGACTCTAGTCGTGGTTGACTACATGGGAGTCCAGCGACATAACCATTACACCATCTGCTGGTCCCTATAGGGTTATTTTTCTTATGAGTTTAATCCACAAAACATAAGAGTGGACAATTTAATGTCATTTAATATATTCACAACATTGACTGCACTATTTAAAGTGGACAGTTTAGTGTCATTTAATATATTCACAACATTGACTGCACTATTCTTAAATTATTGCATTCTTATTCTGCAACATCCCTGTCCCAATGTTGGTCTCCCAGTGACTTCAGGGTTTCTGTTTTCTGGAAGCTGGGCTTTTTCAGAATATCTTCTGAGAGAGTAACTTTTAAAAATGGTGCCTTCCGGCCCAGGCTCGTCCCCATCTCAGCTGGCAGAAACCCACTTCTCTGGGGCTGCCCACAGGCGCTCTGGCTCCTTTCTTCCTCTCCCTTCTTTAAAGTTGCCACCACTAGCAGGGCCCTAGGACCTCCCGGCTTTTCCTGAAGGGGACTTGGGGACCCTTCCACCCCTGGAAAACACACAGACAGCACCGATTGGAGGAAACAATAAAGGTTTGCTTCTAACAGCTTCTGGGCTGGTAATTACAAGTTGGTTCAAACGTGAATGAGGTAAATACTGCCCACTGTAACTCTGACCTCCGATGAAGCTCCTCTTTCTATCAAGAAGTCTTGAGTGACATTAAGGTGGGACTGGACATGGCCCCTGTGGTTTTCTCTCTTTCTGAGAAGCTCCACCTATAAGATGTCCATCTCCGTGGGTCTCGGTCCCTCACGTCCTGGGGCTTTTGCACCTTGTGGCAGGTACTTTGGACAGCCAAGACATGACCCATTACCAGTCCCCAGGCCCGGGCCTTTTCCATTCTGGAGGCCACTGTGATGACTTCCTTTGCAACTCAGAGTGGCCCAGTGACACACTTGGGCTGAAGTCAGTCAGGGAGCTTCAGGGAAAGCTCTTGCGTTTTGATTCAGAGGAAAGTAACCTCACTGGTGCCCCCTGTTTCCACTCCCCGCTTACCTCCTTGAATACAGATGTAATGCCCGGTCCTCTGGCAGCCAGGTGAAACCAGGAGGCGGCAAGCCAGCACACTATGGATGGGTTGGGGGCATACGGCCAGCAGAGGAGGGAACATAAAGAACAACACTAAGACAAAAATCCCGAGGCTTAAAGACGCCCGGATAAGATCTTTGGCTGCTGTTATTCACACAGGAAATGTTACAAAAAGTATTCCTAACCGATAAACACCTAATGAGATGCATGTGGAGGTATTTCCTCCCTAAGATGGGAATGGATAGGGAAGACAGCACAGAGGAGAATGAAACCACCCTTTCAGGCCCTAACCAAGTCTACCGACGGTACAAGAGTGGCTTATTCTCAGTGAAAGTACTTAACGAGAATAAGACAGTGGGGAATATGGGGGTGAAGAGAAGAGGATAGAGAAAGATAGCAAGAGAGCAATAGAGAGGCAGGACGTTAGTGGGAAACAGATAGGGCTTATTACCTGTTGATGATGACGTGTAGAGTATTCTCAACTGGATTGGTCTGAGAAGTATTTCATGATGGGTAAAGTCTTTTTACAAGCAAAATGAGAAATAGTGATTGACTGTTTAAAAAATAATTGGAATAATAATAATAATGATTGGGAAAAACAATGAAAAGATATTGAATGATGAAGTGGGGAGATTAATGTCTCTGTATTGACTGACATGAAGGCATTCCCTTTGAAAAAACAATGTAATACACTGTAAAGTTATATGCAATCCAATGTAATATAAACAATATTATGATCATAGAAAAAAAAGAGTGGCTTATTCTGAGTTGAATATGGCCCTGGAGTTAAATCATTAGGGAAGAATCCTTTCTACCTGCTTATGAACCAAAAGGTGCATTTGTTTTAAGCCAAAAGGATCTAGGACTGGTTTATGTGTGCATGCCCAAAGTCCCAAGAGGAGAATGGAGGAGAAGGAACTGCAGCATGGCCATCCCCCGGGGAGGTGATTTCTTACTTTTTGTCTCTCTCTGGGTGAGCACACGTGTCCTATAGCAAAAATCTCTCATAAAATAATAATAGTAACCCTATATATTTTTTTACTTTAAGAAATTTTTGTCAGAGGGTACATGCATTCATCAGAGAGAGACAAAGAGGAAGTCAGCCATGTGGAGTTAAGTGGCCCGTTAATGTCATTATGGAGCAACTGCTATTTGATAAGGATCTATTGGTTTGG